AGTGTGCTGTCACAGTATGGGTAAAGCAATTAGGGTCACATAACAATGTATGTATAAATTTTTGTACGGGAGACTAACCTGAAATGTAAACTTCATCTAAACTACAACAATAAAAAAATAAATAAAACAGAAAAAAAAAATCCTCTTTTCCCCACTATCTTTTTAAAAAAAAATGTGTGGATGGGGAGTGGGGAATGGTTCGTGTCCCCCACCTTTACCTAGACGACTGAGTATCTTTCTCCCCAAAAATAAACAAGAATCAAATACATAAGCCAAGCAAAATATGAGAGGAAAAGCCAGGAATGAGAAGTGCAATCTTCTTTCCATGTTTCTCTAATAGATTAGTAATTTGTTGGCACCAGCTTTGACAGAAAGCAGATGGAGCCAGCATTAAGCACAATGGAGGCAGCAGATGCTGGGCCAGCCCACCTCAGCTGGACGGGTCTGGCAGCCAAGTCCAAGGGCCCACAGTCTTGAAGGGTGTTCAGCCTGGCACACCAGCCTTGGAAAATCAGTGACCAAATGAATTCAGATTTCAACCCACCAGGAGTTATATTCGAGCTCCAGATAGAGGAAGCAGTATCTAGCCTCTATTCAGGTCAGCATTTCCCATTTTAGGAGAATCACAGATAATTGTGTACCCAATTCCAGCATATTTAAATTAGCTAGTTATAATCAATATTCTAAGCTTGCTGCTTTTATTGAACCATTACATGTTTCCACTGACATATGAAATTTTGCTTCCCCTTCTCAATCATTCAACGATTATGTAGGGCTGACCACTAGGGCTCCACATATCCCCCCAGGCTGTAGAGAATAAAAAGGAGGTGCACATCAGAGAATAGCCATCTTACCCTGGGTGGAAGAAAAGAAGTGTGTAATTAGTTATGTACCACAAATATATTTGTGAATTAGATCCAAATATGCATTTATCTTTTTTAGCCAATGAAATTTATCATTTTTTATACCAGCGTACTATGTAACATTATTTTTAAAGTCATAGTTATTGAGATGTAATTCACATACAATAATAAGCTGCTCTGGTGGCGCAACCATTAAGCACTTGGCTGCTAACTGAAAAACTGGTAGTTCGAACCCACCCAGAGGCTCCACGGAAGAAAGATTATAGCCTAGAAAACCCTATGGGGCAGTTCTGCTCTGTCACACAGGGTTGCTATGAGTTGGAATTGACTCGGTGACACCCAACAACAACAGTCGTGTAACCACCACCATCATCAAGGCAGAATATTTCTATCATGACAAGAAGCTTCATTTTGTGGTCAATCTCATCCCCACACCCCAACCCCTGGCAACCACTGATACAGGTTCTGTCCCTAGAATTCTGCCTTCTCCAGAATGTCATATAAATCTAGCCACACAGTGTGTAGCCTTTTCTGTCTGTCTCCTCTCACCTAGCCTCATGCTTCTGAAATCCATCCATTCTACTGCATGGGTCAAGAGTTTGTTCCCTTTTGCTGCCAGGTCGGGTTCTACTCTGTGGACATTTGGGTTGTTTCCAGTTTTTGGCAATAATGAATAAAGCTGCTAAAAACATCTCCCTACAGATCTTTTCTGTGGACACATGCTTGCACTTCTCTTGGTAAAAGCCTAGGAGTGGGGTTGCTAGGTTGTATGGTGAGTGTATGTTTACCTTTATAAGAAAACCCCAAACTGTGGCTGTACTATTTTGCATTCCTGACAACAAACGTGACAGTTCTAACTGCTCCACATCCTCCCTAGCACTTGGTATTGCCAACTTTTAAAAAGCATGAGCGCTGCTAACAGGTATGCATTCCCTAGTGACAAAGGATTTTGAGCATTTTTATGTACTTAATTGCTGGTTACCATATTTAAATGAGATGCTTTCTCTGTAAAAAAAAAAAAAAAAAAAATTAATAGTTGTATTTCAAAAAACTTCTTCCAAGTTGATCTGTCTACTCAGGCCTATCATACCATGCTTGTCCTTTGGGCAGTGCCCTAAGAGGAAAAGTGAACAAGTCGTTAAACAGACCACTAATGCAGGCTCGAAAGGAAAGCTGACCTCCCCCATGTCGCACTACATCTTACTATTTTTGTTTTTTGAACTGATATTATTTTTTCTAGATCAACATACATCCAAAAAAACCCTTTAAAATGTAAAAGTAGTAACAATATTACACAAAGTGTGTAAAGGAGGGGAAAAGACTCATTTTCTTACCTGCTTGTTATCATTTCAGTGTTTCACTTTTGTGTAGTTTTTTCCACATTTATATGACCAAAGTTAGTTCCTTGAAAACATTAATTACAAAGTAATACAAGCCCAATGCAGAAATACAGTTCTACAGAGAGAAATAGAAACGATGCTAGTTTCACATCCTAAAGAGAAGATACCATAGATGAGATTACTCTGAAGCACTGAGGAGCCAACTGAATCCTCATCAAGACAGGGCTGAGAGGGTGTCTGTACGTCTCTGGATTACTCCGTTTTAGCTAAATTCATTCATTTAGAAAATACATATCAAGGACCTCTTACGGGCCAGGCTCTGCGCTAAGTGCTGGGGACTCCCCAGCAAACGAAGACACAGAGCTTACATTCTGGGAGCAGAGGACAGGAAAATACATCACTACAGACAATGCCCCACACTGAGAAGGACTTTGAAGAATAAAGCAGTAAGTGAGGAAGTGTACAGAGTGGGGAGGGAAGCAGTCAACAGCGGGGTGCGGACTGCGGGCCGCCCTGTGGGACACACTCAGAGGGAGTGACACCAAAACGACTGTCTATAAAATTTCTGCGCTTTGTTTCAGCAGAAATTTATTACTTTTTATAAAAATACCCCTGTAGTTAGTTACAACAACAAAATATTTTTCATAAGCCCAGCTTATATGTATCAATATACTTACAAGGCTAAAACTCTATGCTAATTTACTTTTTGAACCTTCTAATGCGCTCTGGTCAGAGCTGTTGTTATTACCCAATTACGACGATGCTTCGAATCATGTGGTTTTGTCTGCACGTGCTACAAGCACTCACTGTTGTTTTTGTTGCTGCTGGTGTTTTTATAGTCGCTGATTCTGTCAAATTTTCTGGTGCTTTAGCTGCAATATTATAGTAATTAGTATTTGTGGACTTACAGCAAAAAACTTTTTTGAGAATGAAGTAGTAATTAAAGGAAAAGGAAAAAAATCAAAAAAGGCTTCTGCTCAGTTACTAATAATGTTTTAACTAATAACGTAATTCAATGTAAAAAGATTTTACAAAACAATTTTTTGTTAGTATTCATATAATTTAAGAAATAATACATTTAAGCAATTTACAGCTATATTTATCACATATTATTCTATGATTAAAACTGAAAATAAACATTAATAAGGATTCTGTATGGTCTGCTATGGAAGGAGGTCCACGGGGGGTGATGACAACCCTAATGATGCCACTGGAGGGAGGGCCTTTCTGATAAGGTGACGAGGAGCGCCACCACAGGAGCAAAGGGACTGTGTGGACCTGTGCCGCCTGTCCTGAGAGAGGGGCAGCAGTTACCATAGGGCTAAGGTCTCTCTCTCTCACACACACACAGAGGACACGTGCCTCATTGGCCTGCAGGGCAGGGACTGATGAAGAAGAGAGCACAGGACTTCCTCCAACCACTGACTGAGCGTGTGACCCACGGAAAGCTATGTGTCACTGTAAAGTTCTGCGATGCCATCTGTAAAATGGACACAATTAAAGAGTACCTATCGCATGTGGTTGCTGAGGGAGAGAAACTGTAACCATAGTAACTACTGTTGGACAAATTTGTCACAGAGTGGACAGAAACTGTAGCAATGTTAATAATAAGATCACTTGTTAATCAGTGAAAAGAAGTTTATCCTTAAATTATCATACTGCATTACATGCTTCATTTTACTTTCATGATGCACAGATACTCAAATTTATTTCTCAAACAGAAGAAGGTATAAGAAAGAGTAAGCATTGACAAAAAAGTGTAAAACGGTATCATCTCAACCGAAGAGCCAAAATTTGTATAAAACACTGTCTTAGTTATCTAGTGCTGCTATACTAGAAATACCACAAGTGGATGGCTTTAACAAAGAGAAATTTATTCTCTCACAGTTTAGGAGGCTAGAAGTCTGAATTCAGGGTGCCAGCTCTAGAGGCTTTCTTTCTCTGTCAGCCCTCGGGGGGAAGGTTCTTGTCATCAATCTTCCCCTGGTCTAGGAGCTTCTCAGTACAGGGATCCCAGGTCCAAAAGATGCACTCTGCTCCTGGCACTACTTTCTTGGTAGTATGAGGTCCCCCTGTCTCTCTGCTTGCTTTTCTCTTTTATATCTCAAAAGAGATTGGCTTAAGACACTATCTGTTCTGGGAGATTGAGTCCTGACTCATCAACATAACTGCCTCTAATCCTGCCTCATTAACCTCATAGAGGTAGGATTTACAACACATAGGAAAATCACATCCGATGACAAAATCTCACAGTACTAAGAATCATGGCCTAACCAAGCTGACACACATTTTTTGGGGGACACAATTCAATCCATAACAAACACTAAGACCTCTACGGTAAGAAACAGGCATCTAAGAGTCTGAAATCACTCTTGTCACATACCATGCAAGCACGTGCATCCCCTCTGGGCTCAGAGCGGCTGGACATTGCACACCTCCAGAGTCTCCCTGGTGATGTTCCCATAAAGATTTCCGCCTAGGAAACCCTAGGGGTCAGTTCTACTCTGTCACACAGGGTTGCTATGAGTCTGAATGGACTTGACAGCACCTAACAACAACAACACAGACTGCAGCGGGGATGTGCCCCTTGGAGGTGGGCCAGGAAGAGCCCTGATCTGCTTCCCCTGAGGGCCAGGAGGATACTTCAGTCAGAGGAGCCGTCCAAAAGGTAATTTCTTTTTAACAAAGATTTGACTAAACGGCAGATCTATGAGCCCAAGGAGAAGGCACCAGTGAAGCTGCAGGTCCACACACTGTGTTTCTATGTTACAATCCAGGATGGCCACTGCCAGGACCTGTGATACAGAGTAAAACCAGTTCCCATCGAGTTGGTTCTGACTCATGGGGACCCCACATGTGTCAGAGTAGAACTGAGCTCCACAGGGTTTTCAATGGCTGATTTTTTCAGAAGTTTACCTCTGGGCTTTTCTTCTGAGGTACCTCTGGGTGGATTCAAATTGCTAATCTTTTGAGCATGTTAACCATTTGCAGCACCCAGGAACTCCAGTACAAAGTAAACCTCATCTTACAAAATAGCTTAGAAGGATTTGCTTAGTCATTCCATGAGAGGCGTGAATGTTCTCACTCTTGAATGCTGTCAATTTTAAATCATAAGGTAAAATAATTAGCTTCCCACTGGTCATAGATGAAGATGCTTTACGGTTTTTCTTCTTTCTTTAAGTTGATTTGTACTATAAGTTTTCCTTCCTTTTTATTTTCTAATTCCCAGGTTTTTATAAAATGATAATTATCAGTCTCTTAAGAAAGCTTCAAGCTTAAATCTTGTAACTTGAAGGTTAAATTTGAGCATCAAAAGAAAACTGACTGCCTTAACCTACTTTTTGCTACAAAATGATCTACTTCAATCTGTTTTTTCTTATATTAACAAAATAGAGGTTTAAAGTATTTCTTCAACAAACTATCTTACAATATGAAAATAGTACTTTTGCCTAGCACTGTTGATTTAACCATAAAATAAAGCTAGAGTTACAGGGGACCAGGCACTGTTTTCTTCTGCTGTACATAGGGTCGCTGAGTTGAAACCGACTCAACGGCGCCTAGCAACAACAAGGTTATAGGAAGTGGTAACTTCATTAAGTGTATTACAACCTGTTTAAAGAAAAAAAAATGAGTAAACTAAAGGGGACTGGGTAGTCTGCAGAGGCCAGCCTCTGGGAAGCCAAAGAACAAGATTCTGTCAGTTTCGCCAACGCTGTCTGGGGGAAAGCATCCTGACCAGATGAGACGAACCCACGAGGTTGACACACCTCACTCTATACAAGAGAAGAGGCAGTTAGCTTAGTTCAGTAATGAGACTGTGGCTCTGGACTCATAAGAGTCAAGACCGAAGTCCTGGGTCACAGTGACCCCGAGGATGTCACGCGCCTGTGGGGTGCTCTCTCAAGGAGCCAGCGGGTCAACAACCTGTAACATTCATACCCTACTCCTCTTGAAACAGTTGTGTTGTAAAATGATTAGTGTGTAATTCAGTCTTTTGGAACTGCATTCAGTTCAACGGGATATCATTTAGAGTTTGCCCTTGCTAAATTTGTGAGAAACAGATTTTAATGAATGAAGGCAAAAGTAAGAGTTCAGATGGCATCTAATTTTGGAGAATAAACCTTTAAATCCTTCTGAAAAACACCTTTACCAAATGATTGAGAAATAGAGGACTCATCAGACTCACCTACTTGTAAGTCCCCTACTTCCTAAGACCCACGCTATAAAAACGAGGGCAGGAAACCAGGGCTGCATCAGTGAACAACCTGAGCAGCTTTAGGTGGTGGCCCTGCATGGGCCCCAGATGCTATCACAACAGAGAGTGACAGCTGTGGGAAATCTAGGCTCAGAATTCTCGTGATCTTCCCGAGGTCATGCTGTTTATTCAGAACAAAACTAAGGCTAGAGCCCTGTTTTTTGCAATTAGTGACAAATGTGCAAAAAATACTTGTGGGTAGTCAGCGTGACAGACACCGTTCTAGAGAGCATCAAAACAGTAAGACGGAGTTTTTGTCCTTAAGAAATGTATAGGCTATGAAGATGAAACTGATTCCAGCGCTTTTTAACTCACACAAAATTCGTTTATTAATAATTAACACGTTAATTAAAGAATTCCTTTCTATTTATTAAAGCAAGTCCCTACGGCCCCCCTCCATGTGCCAACGCTTTGTAAGGGTAGTTATGATATGTGCTTGCTTGAAGGTAGAAAAGTACCATTTCATAAAATACGCTGTAATTAAACATTTTTGCCCATTTAGATGCAGCCCTGGTTTCATGCCTTCGTTTTTACAGCGTGCATCTTAGGAAGCAGGGGACTTACAAGCAGATGAGTCTGATGAGTCTTTTATTTCTAAGTTATTTGGTAAGGGTGTTTTCCAGAAGGATTTAAAGGTATATTCCCTAAAATTAGATGCCATCCCATTTGTATAGTTAATAATTCAGACTTTACAGTATTAATACGCATTTCTAAAACTTCCCCCTTCTCAACTTCACAGGGAATTTTTTTTTCCTCCTTTCTTTAGTATTTTTGATATACGTCCATGCCTGTGTTCCTAAAATGTTCCTTGCTCCTTGAAGGCAAGTAGTTTTTGTCTTTTGGCTTTGGGTTTGTCTAGTGGCTCACAGAACTAGAGAGAAGGGGAAGGGGAGAGAAGAGCTGGGAGCCAGCACAGCCCGGTCTCAAGTCAGTCTCCCTTGTTTGAATGCTGGCTCCACGACTGACTAGCTGTGTGATGGAAACCTCCATGGCATCAGTCTTTTCACTCGCAAAGTGGGCATAACCTCACAGGCTTCACATTAAGAGAATGAGCTCGACTGCCTAGAATGGACTCCCAGCCTGACCACTCAGTCACCGTGCCTCCTGGGGCGGTGGTTTACCTGTCCTGTGCCTGAGAGGAGTCATAAAGTACCTATCACATAGCATGCTGTGAGGATGAAATCAATTCCTACGTGAAAAACACTTAGAACAAGATCTACGACAGAGTAATGTGTGTAATAAACATTAAGTTATTATTACTGGAAACAACAATTTTGGAGATGCTGCTCCTGACGATAAACTGGTTAGCAACAAAAGGTTGTAAAATACTTTTCCCTGAGATCTAAGAAAACAGAAGAAATTCATCTGGTTTAGAAGAGAAATGCAAGGATGAGACCAACGACCTCTGGGAGTCACCATGCTCCTGATTCTCTTCAGAGACATTTAAACTTACAACATGGAGAGATGAGGTAAATATTTCACCAATAACTTGAGTAGTTAATTAAGAGGAGGAATAAAAAAAAAAAATCCTTCATTTGGCCCCTGTTTAAAAGATCAACAAAGAGAGAGATGCAAAGAGAAGAACATTTATCGGACTGAATAATAACTGCTACAAGTGTAATTTCCTGTCATGTCGCGTTTGCTGAGGGAAGGAGAATGCAAGCAGGAAAGGGCGAACAGTTTCGACTTGGACACAAAGTGCCAGGACGTTAATTTTAAGCATGCAGTAGTGAGAGCCGGCTCGGGAGGCTGGAAGCACACACACCACAGAGTGCAGTGTGGTGGGAGACGTCACTGGGGGAGGGACAAAGCAGTAGAGAGAGCGGACATGAAGGCTCGAGGAAGGGGGAGCGTTTCCATTTGTCAAACATTAGAAAGTGCCAAGTATGAAAGACATCATCTTTGATCAAATGGTTTCTGTTATCAACCTTAACTTGGTTATTTATGCCTTCACATACACATACAATCCCAAAACAAAGAACCTTCTTGAATGTAACCAAAATGGAGGCAGCGGATTGAATGGGCTGTGTTAATATAAAAGACCCTGGAGGTGAAACAAAATTTAGACTCAGAACATCAGAACTGGAAGCAACTTCCAACTCTGACCCAAAGTAGCAGTCTGGATGAGAGCCCTCCCCGGTTCAGGCCTCTTAATTCAGACCCGGAATGGTCAACGATTCTGGAAAACTGAGGGCTTTATTGAAAAGGTGTAAGTCCATTCTACGGAAATCCTCTTCCCTGCTGTTAACTCCTTCAGCATAAGAGCTGAAGAGTTGTTCACAAAGACTCTTCAGATGCTCCAAGACATAGTCTTCGTTCATTACGAGGAGCAGGAGAGGAGCAGGTTGCACATGTGATTATTTAAGACTTGTTGTTGCAGTGCATGCTGTCGAGTCGATGCCAACTCATAGCGATCCTACAGGAAAGAGTAGAACTACCCTATAGGGTTTCCTAGGCTGTAATTTCTACTGGAGCAGATCGTCAGGTCTTTTCTCCTGTGGAGTGGCTGGTGGGTTCGAACTGCTGGCCTTTGGATTAGCAGCCGAGCGCTTAACCATTGATAAGAGATCAATTTCTAGGATTACACAAAGCCCTTGTGACTTTTCAAGGGCCAAGTGCTAGGCTTTCAGTCACCCCCAACTCTGAAAAAGGGGCTCTGACCTTGTCTCTGATTACATTCTTAGCAAAAGTCCATGTTTTATGTGCATGCCACAACTTGTTGTCAGTTGTCACTGAGTGGGCTGACTCACGGTGCCCTTATGTATAGCAGAACGAAACGCTGCCCAGTCCTACGCCATCCTCACAATCACTGGTATGTTAGAGCCCCTGTTGAGGCTATTGTGTCGCTCTATCTCATGGAGGCTTTCCTTCGTTTTCACCGGCCCTCTGCTTTACCAACCATGATGTCTTTTTCTAGCAGTTAGTCTTTCCTGATGACATGCCCAAAGTAAGCAAGACTAAGTGTCTCCATCCTTGCTTCTAAGGAACATTCTGGTTGTATTTCCCGTAAGACAGATTTTCTTCTGGCAGTCCATGGTATAGTCAACGTTCTTTGCCAACACCATAATTCAAAGGCGTCAATTCTCTTTAGATCTTCCTGTTTCATTTTCCAGCTTTCACATGCATATGAGGCAACTGAAAAGACCATGGCTTGAGTCAGGCACACCTTAGTCATGAAAGTGGTATCTTTCCTTTTTAACTTATGACCTGCTTTTCCAACTTTCAGTAAAGTTTTCTTCTTTCCATGACAGCTAAAGAAACACCATTTGAAGATGTCTGCTCTGCGCAGTGAGGAGGAAGTTCTCAGGCCAGCTCCCCCCCACCAGCTGACTGAGTCCCACCCTGCTTCAGCTCAGCTACCAGGATGCCCATCACAACTCCCTGGGGCTGTTAAATTCCAAAGGCTTACTGGAATTAATAACACGAAAACTGTTTATGACATGGTAAAGAGGGCATAAAGACGCGACAAAGTCCATGTCCACTCCAACTCCCACTCTGTGTGCATGCACAAAGGCAGGAAGGGACTTGATACAAAGTTTTATGTTTTGGGTGTTCTAATACAGTTTTCACAGCAGCAGAAATAACTGGAATGTAACATAACAAAGCCATGTAAGGCGAGAAAATGACATCATGCTGGTACCACTGAAAGTGCTTAAAGCCCTCCTGAAAGATCTTCAAAAAGCAAGACAATACATGGGTAACAGTTTTCAAAATGCAAGGAGCAATAAACAGAAAGGTAAAACTTCTGAGAAACACACTGGTAAAAGCCTAGAAGGTGCCTGGGCTTCAATCCGTAATCACTTTCCTTGCGGGCACTCAGTCAGGGGCTAGGACAGCTCAACAAGCCTCAATACAACACGGTTTGCTAAGCAGACTCAAATGCCTCTAGAAAACAATACAGTTTTAATACAGGAAGACTGGGCTTTGTTATGGAAGTGGAAAACACTTTAGGACAGTTTCCTACTAGGCTTGGATCATCTTCACTTGGAATATTCCTGATTTTTTTCAGAAGTGAGGAAGCTCTGGGAAACGAGCCAGGTTATCCTATTCTTTCTAAACTGCCCATTAGTGTCTAATTTAAATAAACAAAAAATAAAGAAGGTGCTAAATTCAAATGCCTTATTGCCAAATGTGACTTAGAAAAAAAATATATATAAACACATGTATCAGGTTAGGAATCTTGATGGAAGGATTCTACGTGTGTCTGACAAAACATAACCCAACGCCCCTGGAAGGCAGAACACAAGCAGTGCATTTTGGGCATGGTTCCATTAATTTTCCTGACTGTCCTCTTTGAAAGGCAAGGTCCATTTCCAGCTCGGCCCACTGTCTTCTAAGAGAAGTGTGTAATGAGCGGGAAAAATGGAACTAGCGTTTATCCGACACAGCACTCGAAGACAGGCTGGGATGCTCTTAGTTCGACATCCTCTGAGTAGTGAACGAGCTGTCTGAGTTTCTTGGTGCTGCTGTAACAGAAATACCACAAGTGGGTAGCTGTAATAAGCAGAAATTTATCTTCTCACAGTTTAGGAGCTCGAAGTCCGAATTCAGGGAGCTGGCTCCAGAGGAAGGCTTCCGCTCCGTGGGCTGTGGGGGAAGGTCTTTGTCTCAGCGTCTCTAGCCAGCCAGCCCTTGGAGTTCCTGGGCTTGTAGACTGGTCTGCCTCTGTCTTCTTCAGGTCGTGTTGGTCTTCCCCCGTCTGTTTTCTTTTGCGCCTAATCTGCTCTTTTATATCTTAAAAGTGATTGGCTTAAAATTAACATACACTGATAGAGCCTGCCTCATTAACATAACAAAGAAACCTCTATTCCCTAATGGGACTGCATCCATAGGTACAGGAGTTAGGAATGACGGACACCTATTCTGGGGGGACACAATTCAATCCATAACACTGTTATAAAGATAATTACTCAGAGGGAGGAGCATGATGAGAATTCAGCAGAATGAAACTCAGCTTTTAAATCGGAAGCTTTTTGAGGACAAGGCTTGTTGTCTTCTTCACCAACGGGGCCTTACTCCTTTATGAGTAGCACAGGTGAGAAAAGGACTTCCCACAGCGTCTGAACCTAAGTGTTTAGTGAACAGTGTGGGCTATTACGGGCTATTAAGGATGTGCGTTTACATTTACCACACAGAATCTTAAAAGATATTCATAAATTAAGATCTCGAAGAACTTGTATGCTAATGAAATTTCCACAATCTACTGCAGTGGATTTGCAGAACCTTTTTTTTTTTTTTTACCTTGTGGTCCATACTGGCTCATCTGTGGACCGTAAGTCCCACTTGAGTTGCTCTGCTGAAAGCTACTAATTCCAGGGTGCATCTGGCCCCCAGGAGAAGGGTGCGGTGACATGGATGGTGCTGTCTGCTGAGGTCCATACTGGGACATCTGAGGGTTTCTTTGTGAGCCTGCCATGAAACCTATGTGGGAAAGCAATGGAAACATGTAAGTGCAGGTGCTTCATAATCTCTGTACGTACAAACACGGACATGGAATTGCCTAGAAGGCAGCTGGGGAGGATACGGGTGGTACTGTGAGGCTCCCAGAACTAAGCAAACCTCTAAAGATATCTCGAACCCAGTGTGGAGATCTGGAAGGGCAGAGGACCCCATGGCCTACCTTGGTCCTAACCCTGAACTCTCATTAGATCACAGACTTGAACTAGAGAAACAGAGACGAGGGAGAAGAACAAGTAACTTCTTTCACAGATGAGGCCCTACAAAAAGCACCAGGAAGAGCTAGGGCACTTTTACCACAAACCCTCCATTCTTGCCAGACTGGACACGGTGCGCATGCCACCTCAGAGCCGTGGCTCACTTCTCCTGATCACTGGAATGCATGCCTCCGGGTCCTTAAAGATCCATCCTAGCCCTCTCTGGAACCCAGGGTAATCCTCAGCTTGTCCCTCCACTCAGCTGTTTTCCTCTCTTCCAGTCTCCTCCAACAGTAATTGCTCAACTTGACTCCTAAATAGCAGTGCAGACGTATGAAGACCTGATCCACACCGTCGCTTACAGGTACATTTTAAATCAAACTTGAGGGTCTGAATTGTATTCGGACTTTCTCCCTCAAACCTGTTCTGCCCGTGGTCTTCCCCACCTCTGTAAATGGCACCACTGAGCACTCACGCGCTCTTGTCAGAAACATCTGGCACTCACGTCCCCCCTTTACTTCTTTCCTGTATGTGCAACCAGTCCATCAGCAAGTCCTGTAGTCTCTGCTTCCGAAACAGACCTCGAGCCACTCCTTGTCTACTTCTACGTGGACGACAAAAGCGTCCAAGCTACCATCTTTCTTGCCCACATGGCTGCGATAGTGTCCTGACTGCTCTCTCAAATTCCCTCTCTCTTGTCCTGCTCCTTTTGGTTCATTTTCCCACGAAGCTGCCAGAATTCTCTTTCAGGAATAAAACAGGAAATTAGACCACATCTGTCCTCTGCATAAAACTCTTCAGGACTTCCCATTGAACCTGGGTAAAAAATTTAAGCATTTTACCATGGCCAGTGAGATCTTACGTGGCCTGGCAGTTGTCTTTCTTACTTTCACCCCATTTCCTACAACCTTCCCTCCCTCTTACTATCCTGTACGTCCACGGGCCTTCTGAGAGTCCCTAGATGATAGTCAAGCTCTTTCCCTCAACATGGCTCGGCTCACTCCTGCTCCCCCTTCCAATGCTCTTTCACCTGCTCTTCACAGTGCCGGATCCTCTCATCCTCAGGTCAGCCTTCCCTGACTACCCAATCTAAAGTAGCACCAACCCCATGAAACCCCTTCTTCTTCCCACTTACCTTCTGTCAGAGAATTTTTCATAATTCTGTAATCATTTTGTTTAATTTTTGACTCAACTTATTGTCTCTTTTCTCCACTAAAACATAAGCTGCATGAGGGCAAGGAGCATGTCTGTGTTCACGGCTCCACTGTGAGTGCCCAGCAGAGCACCTGGCTCTCCGTAAGTATCAAGAACCACTTTCTGAGCGAGCCAATTAATTCCTCTGGTACCCAACAGAGTGCTGAGTACACAGTAGGTGCTTGGTGGGCATTTGTCCAAACAAATAAAGAAAATACCTCTTTAAATTATGCAGAATTGTAACATCAAGCTGTACCCACACATATCAGCAGTTCAGGCAAATGCAAGTGAGTTATGTAGAACGGGCTGTGAAATACTCATTTCAAAGGGTCTACCCCACATCAAGACATATATCTGAGAAAAAGCTAACATTATCAAACTCAGATAGTGCAGTTTTAAAAAGAACTCTTCAAAATCCAACAGTTTGAGTCAGTAAGAGACTCCACACATCATCAAGTGGAGGCTCTCTAGACAGAGCAGAGGGTTGACAGATTTCTTTCCGCCTGCCCAGGAGGAGAACCAAGAAGAGAAGCTTTCAAAGTCTATTGAGGCCGCCAGAGGGTAAGATAATGCTTAGATCTATGGAGATTAAATGGTATATGGTATTTACAAAGACCACTGTTTACACTTAAGTAAGGAAAAACAAAGATCTTTTAACATAGCTTCCATCTAAAAGGATCAACACAAAATAAAAGTAATGGAGCTCTTCCCTCATTATCCTACTTAATTTATTTATAAAGATGAGCTTTATGAGATTGGGCTGAATTGGCAGTTCCCAGATATAAATCATTATAGAAAATGTTTGCTTTTCCAAATCTGAAAACAAACAGAAATCAGAGCACTAAAATTACTAAAAATGATTGCATCTTAAGATGTTACATGAAATATTTATCTAAGCTTTACTATGAAATTCTCAAGAGTTTCAGAGAGAGTCCTGTTTAATAAAAAGTGTGTTTCAATTCCATACAGATTTCTTTCTTTCTTTTTTTTTTTGGAGAATGACTGCTTTCCACTTCAACAGTTAAGGAAAATAATACCAGTCCTTTAATTAGCATTACATTTCACTTCATACATAATGGTGTCCAGGCTGAAAGATTTAGAAACTCTGTAAATACAGTCTACCCTTAAGCCTCTGGGCCTCTTACTATAGGTTTAATGTTTACTCAAGTGAGTTCTTTCTAAGAAATGTTACGTGGGGAAGTTATTCCTTTATTTTTGAGTATTTACTCAGTCTTTAAAAAAAATACGTCACGTTTCACTTAAATTACCTCAATCATCACCGGCATTTTGTAGAAGATCAAGTTTGTGGAAAGATTCCGAAAGGAGGTGGAGTATTAACAACGCTAACACAAACTGAGTGTGTTATAGCGTCAAACTCCACAACTCAGGGACAAGGTTCCATGGGGTGGGGAAAGCACCTCTTGCCAAAGAAATTAAAATTGGAAAGCTAATTTTTTTCTCTGTGTACTTTTGCAATGGCATCACTTACAAGAGGTTGTAATCTTGTTTTATATTTTCTGTGAGACTCACCCCTTTCTGTGTACCTCCCCCCAGGACAATGAAAGGGGGAGGTAACACAACTTCCCTGGCTCCCTTCTGCGCTATTATCATCCAACAGCAGTGGCCTGGGACAGAAGACCTAGATCACAGTCTTGCTTGTGTCACCAGCTAGAATATAATAAGGGACACAGACATGTAAATAAATGTATTACAGTGTGTACTGAACGAAACTAGCTGTGTGACCTTAGGCAAACCATATGATTTATCTGAACCTGTTTCCTCATCTTAAAACGAGGATGAGGTTGCCGTGAGGATCAATGGAGGGAACATATGTGGAAGTGTTCTAGAATCTACAGTGTGATATAAAGAGATCCTGATGATAGTTATCTTATTTATAAACCGCCATGAATATCTTTTAACCCCACATATTCAGATGTAATCTCCAGCTAGAATAAACAAGCTAGTTTTATTTCTGCACCGGTTTTTTATTTAAATACGTGGATCCCATGTAATTCCAGTATTTGTTAACTGTGGAAATTCCAAAAGGTTAAAAAGAGTATACCATGAGAAGTAACCTTCCCTCCATTAACTCCTCCCAACTAGTTCCCCTGCCTAAAGGCAAATAGTTTTTTCAAATGCATCCTTGTAGAGATAGTTTATAATTTGTGAATATAGAAATATAGTTTTTTCTTTTTTGTAATCTTAGCTAAACACCAATTGTGGTATATTACTCACCTTGGGGAATTAAAAAAAAAGCCACTCGTTCTTCTTGAAAAATATACCTAGAAGATTACTGTTACTGCCTGTGTCATTCCTTCTTTAACGTCTGCAGAGTTTCCCACTGTACGGATGAACCACCGTTTATGAGTCCTGTGGAGAGGGACACTGAGACTGTGTCCAGCCTCATGTGGAGAGCGTACTTGTACAGACACCATCTCCCATCTATGAAGTTACATTTTCAGGATAAAATTTTACAAGTAGAATTGCATTAAAGAAAGGTTATTGCATTAAATTTTGATAGATGTCGCCATTTCTGCCAAGCAGAGGTTGTACCGATTTGCACTCCCTCCAGCAACGTACAGGGGAGGGCCTGCCTTGCTGTGCCTGGGCCAACTCCATCTGTTACCAGTTTTTAAAGGGGGGAAAAATGTAACCTCATGAAGTTTTAGTCTGTATTTCTCTAATCATGAGTAAAGTTGGACACTGTTTAACAGCCGGTTTTATTCCTTTTCTAGAGCTGTCTGTGTATGTCCTTTGACCAGCCTGTCTCCTCACTATGAAGCGTTCCATCATCTGGCAGACACGGCTCCCACTGCCCAAGAGTCGCATGGCTCACAGACGCTCTTGCATCTGCAAGCCTGTGAAATGTGGTCGAAGGTGCCTGGGTGGCACAAATGGTTTGTGCTCGACTGCTAATCTAAAGATTGGTGGTTTGAACCCACCCAACGGCTCTGCGGAAGAAAGACCTGGCGATCTGTTTCCATAAAGATTACAGTCAAGAAAACCCTATGGAGCAGTTCTACTCTGTAACACACGGGGTTGCCCAGAGTAGGAATCAACTTGATGGTAACAAGTTTTATTTTTTTGTTTTTAATATGGCTTGACTTTCAGTTTGAGAACACTGGCATAGGCCGTAACGTCTTAGTAGGAAAGTGATATGATTTGGCTTGTGTATTTGAAAGCTAATTCTACAGTCCATACATAAGAATATATTTTATAACATGATCCAATGTGTACATGAGCATACGTATACATATTCACACACTGTCTACACACAAACACACCCACGATGCTTCCCAAAATAAGTTTTTAACCATATTGAGCGCAATGCATTCTGATACTTATCAGTGACAAAAAATCTGGGTCACAACTTTCTAAACTGATCACAGTCCACTAATGGGAGGCAGTTGGTGAAACAAAATGCTAAGCCGTGTGCACTACTGAACACGCGCCTTTTGTAGTGTGCCGAGAGCACCGTTCCCCTGACTGCTGTGCTGCTGTCCCTCACCGCTGCCTTCTGTGAAGCGTTCCTTGGCCTTCCAGGAAGTCAGACACGCTCCTGGGCCTGAAAAG